ATATATATATATATATATATATATATATATATATATATATATATATATATATATATTGTAAATTACTTTTATAATTAAAAATAAATATTACAATCCCATTATACAGTTTCCAAAATTTTTAATTTACCCTAATATAAAATTATTATTATTATTAATTAATTGATTCATAATAAAGTTATTAAAATATATAGATATATTATAAATTAATACTACAATTAAAAATACATTTAAAAAATTTCATTATACAGTTTTCAAAAATTTTTCGAGCACACCCTAATACAACATTATTATTATTAATATTATTATTATTATTATTTATTGATCGATTGATTCATAATAAATTAAAAATCAAAATCAAAATCTTTTCTGTATAATTTGTTTTTTTTTTTTTTTAATATTATAAATTCACTTAATAAATGAAACGTCTGTATAATAATATTAATAACAATAATAATGATGATGTACTCATTTTTGAAATATTTATAAAATAAAAATAACGAACAAACAATGTTTTATTATAAATGAAAATATTATGGATGGATTTAAGGTTGAAATGAATTATAGGTCACCCGGTATAAATCAATCCATTCTCGCGTCTGGGTCATACACGTATTCTACGCTATTTACGCTCTCACAAAACGTAACTAGAAGGAATGATGATTCAGAACCGCGGTTCCGGAGCATGACACGTCCCATTGCATCGAATTGACCCTATAACGATGATGGCTAACGTTGTTGTTTTTTTTTTTTTTCACGCAGTCGGTCGTTCAAGAGCGTCGACCGTCCGTTTGCTTCCCTCGAAGCAAAAGAAAAGAAAAAGAGAAAGATAGAAAGATACACAAGTTGAAATAGTGAAAGAATCCAATACAACGCGACACTTAAACAACAAACTTGGTTTTTACTATGTTTGGAAAGGTTCACCTGTTGATGCACCTTCAACGGTATCTTTGCAATTTATCTATACAACAACAACTATTATAAAGTTGTTTTATTTTTAAAATTTTAATTGTTGGTTTCTGTTTTATAATTATTTATTATTTATTATTATTCGTTTTTTCTTGCGTAACTTTAAAGAATGTAGGTGTTCAAATTTTGATCTATGCAACACCTATTATCGTTTCTTTATTTATTTTCTTTTAAATTATTTATTATTATTATTTATTATTTTATTATTTTATTATATAGATTATTATATATTTTATTATATATTTTTTTTATATAATTATTATTTATTATTATTATTTATTATTTTATTATTTTATTATATAGATTATTATATATTTTATTATATATTTTTTTTATATAATTATTATTTATTATTATTATTTTATTTTTAAACATTAAGGAACGTGTGTGTTCAAATTTTGATCTATGCAACAACTGTGATTGGTTTTTCATTTTCTTTTAAATTATTATTATTTATTATTCATTATTTTATTATTTAATTATATGCTTATTTTATGTATTTATTCTATATATAATTATTTTATTATATATTTATTATTATTATTATTTGTTTTTTAAACATTAAGGAACGTGAGTGCTCAAATTTTGATCTATGTAATAACTGTGACGGTTTTCTTTTTTTATTTTTCTATTAAATTATTTATTATTATTATTTATTATTTTATTATTTTATTATATAGATTATTATATATTTTATTATATATTTTTTTTTATATAATTATTATTTATTATTATTGTTTTATTTTTAAACATTAAGGAACGTGTGTGTTCAAATCTTCATCTATGCAACACCTATTATGGTTTCTTTATTTATTTTCTTTTCAATTATTATTACTATTATTTATTATTTTATTATTTTATTATATACATTATTATATATTTTATTATATATTTTTTTAATATAATTATTATTTATTATTATTGTTTTATTTTTAAACATTAAGGAACGTGTGTGTTCAAATTTTGATCTATGCAACACCTATTATGGTTTCTTTATTTATTTTCTTTTCACTTATTATTATTATTTATTATTATTTTATTATTTTATTATATAGATTATTATATATTTTATTATATATATTTTTTTATATAATTATTATTTATTATTATTGTTTTATTTTTAAACATTAAGGAACATGTGTGTTCAAATCTTCATCTATGCAACGACTATGATGGTTTTCCTTTCTTATTTGTCTTTTAAAATATTATTATTTAATAATCTTATTATATATTTATTTCATTATGTATTTATTTTATGTATTTATTATTTTTTATTATTATTTTATTTTTAAACATTAAGGAACATGTGTGTTCAAATCTTCATCTATGCAACAACTATGATGGTTTTTTATTTTCTTTTAAATTATTTATTAATTATCATTTATTATTTTATGATTTTATTATACATTTATAATTTATTATTATTATTTATTTATTTTTAACATTGAAGAACGTGAATGTTCAAAACTTCTTCTTCTATAAATCTGATTCAAATATCAATCGTCGTATCTCTTTTTGTTTTTTGTTTATTGTTTCTTGTTTCTTATAAATAATTTTTTAGTTTTGAGGAAAGAAAGTTATGTTTAGAAATTGAAAAAGTAAATTGTACGATATAAATTATAGTATACATTAAATAAATCTCTAAATGATACACGAATCTCATTTGTCATTTTATAAAATTATGATTAAATTCAATTTGTAATCTTTTTCATACTTAATATTTATCAATATAAACCATTTTGTTTTATTTTTTTTTGTTACGAAGGTGATATTTATATTTTATAAAAAAAAATTTCTTATATTAAATTAAGCCAATCAAAATTAGTCTGAATAAGATTTCACGATTTAATAATAATAATAATAATAATAATAATAATAATAATAATAATAAAAACATATCTTATCAATGTATCAATTAATTCCAATTGGATGAACTTAAATGATTCAAATATTGTCTTAATTAAAAATCAAACCATTTTGTCACACTTTTCCTGTATAATAATAACACACACACACACATACACAAAAACAAAAAAATAGAAAGTAGTTCGAGATAGAAATTTTGTATTCAACCAGTTGAACAAATTCAATCTTATAACAATAATAATAATAATAATAATAAAAATATACGTACACCATCGTCTGAGAAATCCTCCTTGCAGTTTAGCACAAATTCCACGATTGACTCGCATGATTAATCAATTTATTTTCAAATGTCACGTGACACTTATTAGCAAACACAAACACGTACTCTTTTCACTTTTTATTTTATCCCAAATAATAATAATAATAATAATAATAACAAATAATAATTTTTAACACATCATCATCATCATTGAAATAGATTTTTAAATCCTTGAAAACACAAATTGAACAAATAAAACCCGTCCTGTGTGTATGTGTGTGTGTCTATGTTCCTCTCTTTTTATTTCAATTATTTTTTTACTCTTTTAACTTCTCGTCATTTGAAAAAAAAACCCCGCAGAAAGTTTCAATTAAATTTCAAAGGAAAACAATAAAAAGGAAATATTGAAAGTATTCATTGAAATTTGATTTTTTTGTGTTCAATCGAAATAAAATCCTTTTACTTTTTCAAATCCTTCTTTTGTTTATTTTTTTTTTTTTTTTTTTTTTTTTTAATATTAAATCGTGACTCTTATTCGAGTTGAATTAACAACCACGAAAAAAATAGAAAAGAAAGAAAGAAAGAAAGAAAGAAAGGAGGATAGAATGATAGAAGGAGAAAGTTTAATTCCCTTTTTGCTTGAATAACACAGAAGGAACCAAAAACCAACCAGACACCTACCAACCAACCAGCAACTTACTCAGCTTGAAAACCCGTTAACTTTTCTCACCAAAGTTAAATATACTGTTAAATCTTTTCCCTTTTTTTTTTTTCTTCTTCTTCTTCTTTCTTTTCTAGTACATAAAACGAGGTCTCCAAAGAAAGCCTTTTTCTTTTTTTTCTATCCCAAATCTGACGATTATCAAATTGAAATGATTGATACAACTGATGCAGCAGCTTTTTTCTGTTGATACTGATGTTGATGATAAAAAAAAAAAAATGAAAAAAATTGAACCAAAGAAAACAAAATAAAAGAAGTTTCCACTTCAATAAATAAAAAGAAAAAGAAAAAGAAAAAGAAAAAGAAAAAGGAAAAATTGGAACAAAGTTGGAAAAAAAAAAAGAAAGAAAAAGAGAAATTTCTTGGAGACTCCGATGACGTTTTTAAATGAACCACACAACAAAACACCCGTTAATTTTGTATTATATACTTTTATTGGTTTGTATTTTTTTGTTTTTTTTTTTTTGTTGTATAAGATTAAACTGGAGAGAAGAACAACAACAACAACAACACGATATTTGTGAATGAAATAGTTAAAATTAAATGTACAAACTTTTGAAATGAAACTTGACAAACAGAAAAGAAAAAAAACAGATGACCGAGAACGTACAAATGAACGAACGAACGTGTACGTATAAACCAACGAACCAACGAATGAACCAACGAATGAACCAACGAACGAACGAACGAACCAACGAACGAACGAACGAACGAATGAACGTATTCGATCGTAGTAATACTTGGTAAGGCTTGGTATACTCGATCAGAAAACAGGTGGAAGTGGAATGAAGAACATAAACCATCAAGGAGAGGGAATTGAACGTAAGTACTAGAAAGGAACAAGTATGAAAAGTGGGGAGAGAAGTTTTACTCTTGAGAGAAATGTCATTTTTATTTTAATGGAGACTGAGAATTTTGATATTTAATTTAATTTATAAATTAATTCTATTTCATTTAATTGTTTTTATATAAAAATCATCTAAATTGTTTTTAGATCAAATGATAAACTATTCATTTTGTTGTAATAAAGATGAAAC